ATCATGAAAAGAATTGTGGCACCTGAAACTGATAATCAATACCAAAGTGATCAACACCTTTGAAAAATCACCTGTTGATGTGTGTGTTAGCCATTATTGGATAAATTCATATAGATATTAGTTAAATGACTCAGGTTGTATAAGGTTTCTATGGCGATGCTCTCACACAGTATTTATTCCAGTTTCTCTGTCAATCTTCCATTCATAGTCTGCTTCTAAGACACTGAAACTTTCCATATTTTTACCATATTGTTTAACCTTTACATAGTCTTATGTTTAAGCATCATGGTGACTGGAAACAGTTTACTGAACCAGAATTAATGATTTGAAAGCAGTAATTAGTTGTTAGTGCTGGATTTCTAAGTGACTATAGTATCGGTTAGGATGGAGATCTCTGAGCATTTAATCCCGTTTCCTATAGTTAATGCTCTGTAAACATGGGCATACATCATATCTTTGTGCTTGCAGTATGACAATTTTTGATCTAGGCCATTTTGTCTTGAAAGCTGATGTGTAATGAACATGAAACTTGAAACTCTGTTTTACAGCCACTGAGGTGCCCAGATTCTCCAAATGTAAGTATAAAAAAAATGTTCCTTTTTTTTAAAGCAACCTTTGCAAAATTTTATTTTGTCATCTCGCTATTTTCCTTTTTATTTCTGAATCACATGATGCTTCGCGATTTTTTTTTTTATTTTAAATACTTTGAATGACGTTCATCTTTAAAATTCTAAATATTTTTTTATTTGAACCATCCGTTTATATTTAATTTATACAGACCTAATTTCCCTCTAAATAAATTTCATTTTTGAAAATTCTTCTTGTACATGCATGAACTTTAAAGATTCATGTCTGCATATTTATTACGAAGTTAATTAAGAAATAAGATATCATTTTTAGAGTTTCATTGGGATGTGACATGAAGTCGATCACGTGATCAAATTCTATAACGCCAGAAGGGCGTTATAGTAGATTTGATCACGTACCGACTTCATTTCACATCCCAATGAAACTCTAAAAAGTGCTATTTTATTTCTTATATTTATATTTTACTTTTATTCTTAATACAAGGAAAAATAGGCGCTATTTGGACATTGTAATAGAAATGCAACATAACGTAACTACGGCGTCATATGACGTCACAGTCAAGACTTTCTAATAGTCTCGTGCGGTTTGCCCAACTGCATGTCATTGAAAATTGAATGTCAATTTAATTTATATTGTCATATAAGGAAAGACATTAGCAAGTGTAAATATTGCACTTTATGTAATATATGGCGACATGATGTGTCATAAGTCAAGTTCTTGTGAATTTTTAAAAATAAATTTACAGAGAAAAATTCAAAAACCAAAAAAAAATTCTCAAAATTTGTATCTAAACTCTAAAATTGAATACATAGATACTTAGGGTTCTTTCTGAAAGATGTGATATTCTGTTATATTTACATTTGCAAATACTGTAAGTCGTTTTAATTTCACGATTTCTTAAAAAGTACTAATCGCGATGGTTTTAATTTCACGCTGCAAGAGCTTCATTTTAATTTCGTATACTCATTTAAACATTTTTTAAAACCAATGACAGCACTCACGGTGGGTTTAATTTCACGGAAATTTGACGAATCGCGAACATAGTGAAATTAAAACCATCGTGATTATTTGCCAATCTACAGTATCTTTCTTAGATGAATCTATTGAAGAGAAAATATATTCAATTCTGTATGAACTTAATTTGGGGGTCAGAGGTCATAGCGCGACTGAATCACAGAGCGAGATATTTTGTAGTGCATATTTTTGTCACGATGCAACATGTTTTGGAATATTTCTAAGTTAATAATGATGAAAAAGTTGAAATGAATAAAATTTGGATATTTTTCAGTTAAGAGATGTACAATAAATCTTCTTTCGATGTGAATAATGTTTTGAATATATAATTAGCCTAAAACCACACTTGCTTTATTAACCCGAAATTCCTTTGGAGTTATGTAAACTCTAACAGGCCATACCACCACTTTTGACTTCAAAAATATTAAAAACTCGTGAAATAGTAAAATTATTCTCAACAGCAATCATTGTTCTTTCACTATAAACAGATATTTCCTGAACTGGACTGCTAAACATAAATGTAAACATTCAAATGTTGGAGCAAGGTGAACTTTCTAGACCAAACAACTTCTAGGTCATTGCGCATCACAATATAGCAATACGGCGGCCCATTTGTGTAATAAATGCAGGTTTACTCTGAATTTATTCGTCTCAAATGTAAATATAAGTAATGAACAACAATGTTAAAAGGTTCACTGGGAAATTAACTTTAGTTGGTACGTGATCAAATCCACTGAGAAGCCCTTTGGGCTTCACAGGATTTGACCATGTTATCAACTAAGTTCATTTCCCAGAGAACTTTTCAACATTGTAATTGTTTATTTCTAAAATGTACTATCTTGTTTCACTCATCTGAACTAAGTTGTTTCTTTATTAAGTACATGTGTATGCGTATCATTATAGATTTTCATTCAAACTTTTTTGTTTTGAAACTGATTTGATGGAGAAAAAAAATAGTAAGTATGTGATGATCTGAGATATGGAGGTTAAAATCTATTTAATTAGAAAAAGCATTGGGACTTTTAACCCACATACTTTTACTTAATTGTAATATTCCAAATTCTAAGATAATTAAGTCAACTGTATTTGAAAATGTTGGTCTTTTAAGGCTGTTTTATGCATCAGTGCATGTACAGTGTGTAACATCTCAATTATTTGAAAAGTTGACTATTAAATAATTGTTACAGATAAAATGCATATTCAAAAAGTTTAATTGGAGCAGAAATTTTAATGAGCTGTAGAATCACGTCAATGAAAATATCTGAGATTTCTTTCAACATATATTTTCAATTATTCAGTTGCTAAGAACATAATGGAAATTTCGTGCATTTTTTATGATCAAACAACTAGACGTTGACTTTAAGAGATTACATGAATTGAGCCCAATGGGTTTGTTTAGTATGTCCCTGGGGTGATCAGTGGTCAATATTGGTTGTGTATTGTGTTGGTAAAGTGATCTGATGGATTATTAGGGAAAACTAATATCATAATGATTGCAAATTATTGATTTTATGCTTTTTAATAACTAACAACAGTTGCAGAATACTAACATCTTGGACTGAATTACAATCGGAACACCGTGTTCTAGAGTTTATGGGATATTAATCCTCATAACCATGAATTACTTCTAGATTCTGATCGTTGACATGCCCCTTATAAAGTTGCCAGAAGAAGTAATTTTCCGTAATTGCTAAATGTTTAACCAATTTCACTAATTGCGTCATGTTTACAAATTCTTCTTGTTGTGCGCACTAATTTTGGTTAGAGATAACATGAACAGGTAAGATTTTTACCTGTAGAAATACAGACTGCTATCATGTTAAACTTTTTCAGAAAATATAGGATGCTATCTGACATTTTGGTATAAAAGAACAACAAAAAACAGTTTATTAAACATTGAGTAAGGTAATTGTAAATATGAATCTTTTAAAAATATTTTTCAGTTCAAGTAATTCTATTAATTGTAAGGTCCCTACAGATAATATTACTTGTATGATATTTCAAATGAAAATTTTATCCTATATCGGAGTCATTTTGTGAAAAAAATGAATAGTTATTAATGCTGATAATAAAGTGCAAGAGACGGATGATTTTGCTTTACCGGTACTTATCGGTGTATTTTGTAATATATCTAAATTTACAGGTACAGCCTATTTTTGATTCACGGGAATTGAAAATGACTGCTGTAAGTGTTAATTCATAATAAGTGTGTCCACTATAAGCAAGCTTTACTGTATTATTATAACAATAACTTAATCTGAATTTTAGATCATGATCACATTAAGGTGACAGACCTGAATCATCAAGATGAAAGCAATCAATAAATGCAAAAAAAATAAAATAAAGTATTTAAATAATTGATGGCAGAATGAATTTGAAAATATTTGCTAAGAATAATGTATCTCTTTCTATCTTGATTTTGAACAATATTACAAGAAAGATGTTTGAAATTCTTTTTTGTTGGTGAATTTTTTTGTTGGTCAAGAAGTTACGTACCACACAATTTCATTATTCATTGTTTCTAGAGGCAAATAAATGCATGTGATATCACTGCTAGATCTCTGGCTCAATAGTTTTTACTTATTCCTGAATCTCATCAAACTGGAATCTTTTCTTATGTAGTAAAATGTATAGTCTAAGATAAGCATTGTCAGTGAATTTTGTCTGCTTATTCAGCTTATGGATAAAATGAAGTAAAATTGATTTCCACTTTGGTAAATTGGAGGCATGTTGTACTGTATAATAAACTGATGGGAGAAAACTTCAAATTGTCCATTTGTGCTTTACTGAAATAGAATAGAAACAGAGAAATTCACTTAAAATATTGTATCATAATATTGACACAGAGTGGACTTCATGCTTTTCAATTGATTGCTGCTGGTGGTACATAAAGTCTCAACAGTGTCTCCTCTTGCTTCCATTGGCTGCTGTTGGTGGTACATAGTGCCTTTACAGAATGTCTTCACTCATTATACCCCCCCCCCCCAAACGAAGTTTGGGGAGGTATATAGGAATCAGCTTGACCATCTGTCCGTCCGTCCGTCTAGCTGTCTGTCCGTCTGTGTGTGCAAACATGTCCGGTCCATATCTTTCTTACGGAGGAACATTAGAATCTACTACTCCACACAAAGATTGCACATGACCTAAGGGTATGTCATGACCTTGACTCAAGGTCATTTGGGGAAGTTCAAGGTCACTGGAAGAAAAAATTCATAATTCGTGTCCGGTCAATATCTTTCTTATTGATATACTTGGTAGGTTCTCATTTCACACAAAGATTGCTCATGATCTAAAGGTGTGTTATGACCTTGACCCAAGGTCATATGGGGAAGTTCAAGGTCACTGGAAGAAAAAATTCATAATTTGTGTCCGGTCCATATCTTTCTTATGGATAAACTTGGTAGGTTCCTATTTCACACAAAGATTGCTCATGATCTAATGGTGTGTCTTGACCTTGACCCAAGGTCATTTGGGGAAGTTCAAGGTCACTGGAAGAAAAATTCATAATTCGTGTCAGGTCCATATCTTTCTTACGGATAAACTTGGTAGGTTCCTATTTCACACAAAGATTGCTCATGACCTAAGGGAGTGTCATGACCTTGACCCAAGATTATTTGGGGAAGTTCAAGGTCACTGGAAGAAAAATTTCATAATTTGTGTCCAGTCCATATCTTTCTTATGGATAAATTTTTTTTTTTTTTTAAATTTGTTATTACCCCATCATGGTGATCAGTAAGTTTACAGCCAAGGTTGGGGAGCCTTGGATTTCGCAAACTAATTTGACAAAGTCCTTATATTAAACATACATCTTGTGAGTTGTGACAGGTGAAGTTTTTATAAACAAAAAAGAAAAAAACAACATTCACATTTCAGTCATACATATATGTGTATGCAAGCTTAATCAACTAAATGATACAAAGAAATTCATTGTTTCTATATTAAGTAGTTGAAACAGCAGGGTTTTTTTTTTTAG